ATACCCAGGGTCGTGGGGACGGGGATATGTATAAGAGAGAGAAGAGAGAGAGAGAGAGAGAGAGAGAGAGAGAGAGAGAGAGAGAGGGACAGTAAAAGAGAAATCCATACACCAACTACCTCCTAAAAAGCAAATGCAAAATCAAAACATGTCCTCATCGTTCACTTGCGCACCGTTAACGTGCCCTTCCTCGTCGCTCTGCTTGTCCTCCAGCCCGAGCTCACCCATCTCGTCACCTAACAACTCCAGCTCGACCTCCTCACCGACCCAGCCTTCAAACTCTTCCAGGCCCTTTTGCACGTGGACCTTGAACCGGATGACATCCTCCAGGAGCTTCTCGATGCCGCCGTGCAGCTCCTCGCGGACTCGGGCACTCTCCTCGCGCATGCCCTCGTACGCCAGCTGCACTTCCAGCTCGCGCTGCTCGAGCTCCAGGACCCCCTTCTCCAAACCTTCCCGCATGCGACTGAGCTCCTTCTCTAGTTTCTCAATCGCCGAAGTCTGCTGCGTGTGCGCCGTCTGGCCATTCTCTTTCAAGGTCGAATACTGTCGAGAAGCCTCCTGCACACGATAGTTGAGGTTGTCTATCTCGGTGTTCTTCTCGTGCAGGGCCTCCGAGATGTTGTCGAGGAAGTCGCGCGCGTTGAGGTCTGATTCCGCCGCGGCTTTTCGACGCTCGTTGATTTCTTTCCTGAGCGAGATGAATGCATTGCGCACGACACCTCGGAGGTCGAGGTTGAGAAGATGCATCGGGGAATATCCAATGTTTTGCTCGGCAAGAAGGCGGTCAGACTCAATCGGTGAAGCACGACTTCGGCGTGAATGGGATGTTGAAGAGGAGAAACCCTGCTCGGACAAGTTGAGCGAGAGCTCGTAGTCTACGCCCTTTGCGTTGACCGCCGATGAGGGGATGAGGGACATCTGGTAGCCCAAGGAATTGTATCGTTTGACAACTGCCTCTAGATCTTCCAGCTTGCGAGCAGTTTCGACTTCTTTCTCAAGGACCCTCTTGTTGACTTCATCGAGCGCAGCCAGCGCGTCCTCATGGCTCTTCGCTAGTCTCTCCCGCTCTGTATTCATTCGGTCAATGTCCTGGATATTCAAGCCCTGTCGATCGACCGAGTTTTGCAGATTCTGTCGTTCTTGCTCCACGACTTCCAAGTCCGCCTCGACCTTTTGGATTTCGGCGTCGAGGATCTTTATTCTCGAATCGTATTTTTCAATTTTTGCTTGGACATTGGCATTGTATTCCTCAAACTTCTTCTTATCGTCTTCCAGGATCTTAAAATGCTTGTCCAATTTAGCAATATCAGGCGCATTGCGCTCGAATTCGTCGATCTGTGCCTTGAGAGCTTCATGCTCCGCCTCGTATAGTTTGAGTTCCTCGGCATGTTTGGCGTTGATTCGCTCAAACTCGTCTGTCATTGCCTGGATATGTGGTTGAAGTGCGGCTTCTTCACTCTCTTCATCGTCTTCTGGGCCCATTTGTAGCCAGTCTTGGTAAGCGCCGAACAAGAACCTGAATACAATACGATCACTGGAGACATCGACACCAGCCTCCGTACACGCATCATCGTAGGCACCGCGAGTAAAGTTGTCCAGCATCTGTGCCAGCTGCATCATCCAGTGCAGCAAGCCCAGGAAGCGAGGCCAATTCTGACCACCCACCGCGACCAGGTGTGACTTCGTAATGTCTCTCTCGTAAGGATATCTCAGCTGTTTCATGATCGGAGGGACTTCGGTGTCGATGCTCTTCTGGAATTTGTAACCTGGGTCAATGCGACGGTACAGCCATTGAAACATGAATGTGAAGTCCTTCTGTGTTGGCGATTTGACAGAGTTCTGGGTCAATGAGTGTTTCATCTCCAACTCGAAATTGTTCTGCGTCAGATAGTCGAGCAATTCCTGGCTCAGTCGTGCCCTATACGACGAATCCCTCAACGGCCGTGGGTCTTTAGGTGCGCCTGCTGGTGCGGGCGGCTGTGAGAAGAACGACTGGTGCGCCGTGGGGCCATGACCAGAGGGGCGAGAAAAGATGCTGCTTCTTCTCTGCAAACCCTGCGATGCTGGTGTCTGAGAGCCAAACAATTGGTTTGGCGCCAGGCTCTGTCGTCCGGTGTGTGTGCTCCCAAAGATATTATTCGAGACCGACCGCCGAGCAGTCGACATGCCCATTTCCGCCAAGTTACCACCAGACGAGGAGCGATGAAATATGGGTTGTGCAGGGCGCTGAATGCTCTGGTTTATCGACGTGGATCGCACATGAGAGGCGGTATACGGCGCATTTCGTAGTTCGGCGTTGGAAGAGGTGCGCTTCACGGCAGACGCGGGCTGAGGAATCCCCGAGAAGTTTGTGATGTTACCCAAAGTCTCCCTCGGTCGGCGCACGCTGAACAAGCCGGTAGGTTGCGACATTGTGGTAGACGGCTGGCGATCGCGTGTGTTGGAGTCTGTAGTAGAGTACACAGCATGCAACAAAATTGTTCGTACCGGCGCCTTGACTTAACGGCACTGTCAATGTAGTCACAATATGACGTGAAATGGTTAGTCGTAGAGACGGATAATCGTCCGCAGCCTACGCGCTTGATATACATTGTCCACAAGGCGGACGTTGGGTACAACAGTGAACGGACTAGGCTAGCTCTCAACACGCTAATTCGGTATTGGTCACCACAGCGACTAGAGGCCAAGACATCTCACGTGACCTTGTGCCTCGGCTGAGAAGAGATTAGACTCTGAGAGCAGGAATTGAAGATGACGGGTGGCTGGACATCATCAATTCCTCGCAGTCGATCGAGGCTCTTCTATAACCTGCGATTCTTCCATCCAGGTCACTGTCCCTGGCTCATGGTATCTTCACAAAGTCAACTTTGAATGACTTAGCTCGAGAGATACCAGCTCGCCAACAATGGCGCCCCGCGAAGACCTAGTTGCATCCGCGGTCACGTTCCTCCAGGACCCGTCTGTCGCTTCTGCTCCCCTCGAGAAGCGCATCGAGTTCCTCAAATCCAAGAATCTCACACAAGAAGAAATCACTGTATCTCTTGCCCGTGCTGGCGGGGATGCAGCTGCCGTCTCTACGCCGTCGCCGCAAAATGCACCCTACTATCCGCCTCCCAACGCCCACGACGTCCGAGGTCCCCCGGGTCCCAGATATCCATACCCTTACAATCCGTATGGAGACTGGCAACCTCCACCGCCGGAGCCGCCCAAACGAGACTGGAGAGATTGGTTCATCATGGCTACCGTGGTCGGCGGTGCGAGTTACGGCATGTACGTCCTTGCGCAGAGATACATCAAACCATTAATATCGCCACCCACACCACCACAACTGGAGCAGGATAAAGCCGCCATTGACGAGCAATTCAACAAAGCATTTGCACTGCTCGACACATTGTCTTCCGATACTGCTGCATTGAAACAGGCTGAAGAGGCTCGAACGCAAAGACTGGACAGCGCCATTACAGATATCGAAGAGATTGTCGCAGAACTGAAAGCGGCAAATCAGAAGCGTGAAGACGATGCGCGACGCATGGAGGCAGAAATCAAGACCATGAAAGATGGTCTGCCTCGTTCTATTGACAACGTACGAGATGCGAGCGAGAGGCAGTTGAAAGAGTTGAGCACCGAGTTGAGCAGTTTGAAAGCCCTGATGGGAAATCGTATGGGTAGCGGCTCTGGAGTCTTTGGAATCCCACGGGCACAGCCACCGACAATGCCAGGCTCAAACGCTGCCTCCACGTCCAGTACCCCAGCACCACCCCCTTCAGTGGAGAATGCCCCTGCTGGTAGCGGTGTATCTGCGCCTCGGCCAATACCATCGTCTACGAACTCAACTCCGCAACTTCCTGCCTCTAACCCGACTCCGGTGGCAACATCTGGAGGCAGACCGACATCTGGCACCAAAGCTTCTATTCCGGCCTGGCAGATGGCGGCACTCAAAGCGGCAAATAATCCTAGCCCGGCGGCTGCGAGTCATGGGGCTAATGTACCAGTGGCTAATGGTGCATCTTCTGGATCATCTTCCCAGCAGCAGCAGCAGCAGCAACCTGATGGTGCAGATGCCATCGCTGCTCTTAACGCAAGTTAGATACCCATGCTCCAGGAAAATCAAAATAAGTGTTGTCCTTTTTGTACCCCGAATACTCATGGCTCGTCTCCACCACCGAAGCGCTGTCGTGCAATCTCTTTGAAGACGCTCATGGTTTTCTCTTCCTTTTCTTTAATCGCTTGTAACTTGCTTTCTCGCTCTGCACGCCTAGCCCGCAGTATTTCCTCTCTGCGAAGCTCCCTCTCGTTTTTCTTTCTTTCCTGCTCCTTCTGCAGTCTCTTGAGGTCTGTCAGACCGTCCTCGGCCCCCATGAGCTCGGAATCCATGATTTCTACATCGCCGGACGCATCTTTCGAAGCTGCAAAGGAGCGATTGGCCTCGGCGCGTTCGCGCTTTTTCTCCAGTTGGCGCTCGCGGCTTCCCGCCTCGGCACGCGGTACAAGTTCTTCGAGACGCTCTTTCTGAACTCTGCGATCTAGATGACGTTCGTGACGGAGTTGTTTAGTATGCTCTCGCCGGGCCACATCGGCTTCTTCGGTAAACTGCTCGTCCCGTGCACGAAGGTCATCGAGGGAAGGTACGGAGGCTCCCTGCCTTCGAGACATGAGAGAGTCGTCGTGCTCACCTCGCGTCGTGAGCGATGAGGGTAGGGGAGGACCGAAATCTACTTCTTCTTCGGTATCCTCGTTGCCCTGGCCCAGCGGACGAGAATCAGACGTCCTCATCTGACCCGGTTGTGTACTCGTCCTTCGAGGGGAGGGCAGGACTTGACCCTGCGCTCTTGACTTCTCTAAAGTTTCGGGATCGTACCAGCCTTGTGCAAGCTCTCCACGATTCCTGCCATGTAAGCATGCGTATCGACCAGATTTTGCGTCTCCCACACCCAGCACCGGCAGAGCCAACGTGCGAGGCTCTAGGTATTTCTTTCTTACCATTTTCCAACAAAACTCTTCCATCGTCCCTTTACCTCCGTATCGTCCAGCTCTTCAAGGTTCAGTTGTTTATGGATATCCAGATACAGAGCGAACAAGGTGCGATATGCGGGAAGGTCATGCCGTGAAAGCTCTCGTGCTCCATGTGGCAGTGGCTTGGACAGCGTGGGAGACTTCTTGATGTGCTGGCGAGACGGCTCACCAGATCGAGAACGGTAGGAATGGTGGGAGGATCTACGATCAGCATGGTGAGGAGAGCGCGACCTTGATCGCGACCGGTGACGGTGATGATGGCGGTGGTGTTCTGGCATTATCCCCATGTCGTTCTTGTGGGAGGTGTAGACGGGTTGACGGGTCGCATCGAAACGGAATTCCTTTGAAGAATGACATCGTTGTTGTTCTGGGGTGTTTGTGTTGTCCCGAAGTCATGCCGAGGTTCATGGTCGATTCGTGCTGCTCTAATTGCACAACCCTCCACAGCAATGTCGTCAGCTCTCGTCAATTCTCGTCAGTGTTCCAGTCTCATATGCCTGTCCTACAAGTAGGTAGGCACAGCCAGCAGCACGGAGGTCCACCGAGCTACTTTACTCCTTTTGCAACAACCGGAATGATCGAGTGCTTGAGCCTGTAAATAACTGCAAATAACTCTATTGAAGTGCCTTTATGCTGGCCAGTTTGAGTTCGTCACTTCCCACACTTCATGCGTCACCCGGTATGGAAGTGTTGCAGACGGCCTCCAAGCTGTGTCTGCCATCTAGAACTGCAGCACCACTGGCACTGATCTCTCATCACATATATCTCTCGCAGAGAACACATGACATTTCCTGTGTCGCCTGTTAAAGCGGCGCTACTGTTGCCAAGCATCAACGGATTCAAGTCCTGAATTTTCCTCGGATTCATCTCATCCTGTATACCATAGATGGCACTTCGCTCATAGACTTCTTTGCATTTGCATCATATTATAGACTTGGTGTCCGGTCGATAGACGTACCTTCGACATGCACATACTTGTGCGCCACTCCCAAGCTCTAAGAGGGGAAGAGATTGCTGACTCCCCCACCAGGTTGTAAATGATGACGGTCCTCCGTCTAATCAGTCATCGCCATACGTTCATTCTCTAGTGACCGCCCTTCAAGATGCCGGCCATTTGGTATCAGTGGTCCTGCCTCACGTTCAGAGGTCCTGGATAGGAAAGGCACACATGGTTGGTCACACTTTAACCCCGACTTACTATCGCCCTGGTTCGGTCTTGAAAGACGACGGAACCACTTCGAACCGACCATTTAACGACGGCGGAGAGGAGTGGATTTTAGTAGATGGTACGCCGGCAAGCTGCGTCCAGATCGGCCTTCATCATGTGTTCAAGGACAGGGGGCCAATTGACCTAGTGGTCAGCGGTCCCAATTATGGCCGGAACACCACTGCGGTGTTTGCTCTCTCCAGCGGAACGATTGGTGGCGCAATGGAAGGCGCAATGAGCGGCGTGAGGAGTATTGCCTTATCTTATGCCTTTGATTCGAGAGAGCATGACATCGAGGTCATCTCTGCCGCTTCGAGGTTGAGCACTCGATTAATGGAGAAGTTGGCCAAAGAGTGGCCAGACGATGTGCATCTATACAGCATCAATGTTCCACTACGGCAAGGAGTGGAGAACAACAAAATCGTCTATGCTGAAATGATACAAAACCGTTGGATTAGCGGCAGCTCCTTCACCGAATTGGCTGCGGAGGACGACAACGAAGACCCTAACGAGGAGGAGCAGATAATCCGTGAGACTGGTGAAGCTGATGGAAACAACAACAACAACCTCGTGACAAGACGAGTTCATCGCAGATTCAAGTGGTCCCCGAACTTCGCAGACGTTCGGAAGGCCGTTGTCGATGCTGGCAAGGGTGACGGTTGGGAGGTGCTGCAGGGAAACATCACGTAAGTGTACCGAAGACTACAAGGCGTTGAGATCATGCATTGATAGCAGCAGGGTCACTCCATTGATCGCAAATTTCTGGCACTTGCCTCATTACACTGGCGAAATCAAGCTGTGAGTAAGTTCACCTCAACCAAAGCTAGCGGTCAATCTGGGAGCAATTGCTAATCGATGCCTTGCGCAGAGGTGACTCTCATTCAAGCTCAATAGCCTGCAATATAGATTCGAATTCTCCGCCCGTATATGCACTCATTGATTACCCGGATGCATATGTGCAGCCTCTCATCCTGGATGCTCTTGGGCAATTAGCTCCTATCCCCGTCAGGCGCATTTCTAGCCTGAGTGACTTGCCACATCCTTCAGACCGCGTCTTGCAGTTCACCAGTTACGAGAAATTGGACTTTGAGCATGCCATGCAGCACACACAGACGTCCCTTGTTTGCTCGTATGTCATCCGGAAAGCGCTCATTCGCAAACACTATCTTTCCAATACAGTGTCTACCTGGCTAGTCAAACACCCGAGTAGCATCCTGACAAACCATTTCAAGCCGTGTGTCCATTTCGAACTCGACTATGCAGAATTCCTCGATGAGGCCCTGGTGGATGCATGGGACCTGAACGAGAGCTTGGCAGAAAACGAGAACCAAGAATCCGATGGTCAAAGAGAGTGGTGGATACTGAAGCCCGGCATGAGTGATGGGGGCAATGGTATCAGACTCTTCTCAACTAGCAGTGAACTGCAAGCCATCTTCGAGGAGTGGGAGCAAGATGCGCCCGATGCCGATGCCGATGCCGAAAGTTCGAGCGAAGAGGACGAGTCCCATCAGGCTCCGGGGAGCAAACAAGGCAACCTCCTTGAGGGTAACGCAATGACATCCCAGCTCAGGCATTTCATCGCTCAACCCTACATCGACCCCCCGTTACTGCTCGAGTCCTATGGCAATCGAAAGTTCCACATCCGGGCCTACGTGTTAGCCGTGGGAGCTTTGAAGGTGTATGTGTACAAGGAGATGCTAGCTCTGTTCGCAGCGAAAGGCTATCAGCCACCCACGTCTGCCACAGATTCCGAGATGCTTGACCTGGCACAACATCTGACAAATACCTGCTTTCAAGATGAGACGACCAAGAGCACCTCCGTCTACCGATTCTGGGATCTACAATCTCCTGGGATGCGTGCAGACTGGAAAGACACGGTGTTTCAACAAATCTGCGACATAACTGGTGAAGTATTTGAAGCTGCAGCTCGTGAACAGATGATTCACTTCCAAGCGGTGCCCAATGCTTTCGAAATATTTGGCGTGGACTTTCTGATTGACCGGGAATGTAACGTGTGGCTGCTGGAACTAAATGCCTACCCGGACTTCAAACAGACAGGACAGAATCTCCAGGATGCTGTGGTTGGGGGCCTTTTCCAAGCAGTGTCCAGATCCGCAATTGCGCCCTTCTTTGGGTTGACTCGATCTGGAACGACACAGATGCCACTGGTCAGGTCGCTCGATCTAGGCCGATGCTGAAAGGACTCTGCCGCGTCAAGATTGAGCCACCTGCATCTCATCTACCGAGCAGACGCACTGTTTGTGCTCGGCGATCCTTCCAGCCCTTCTGGGCAATGTTGTGCAACATTGAATTCCAGCTGCCGACTGGCTCTTTGGGGGGCATGGTACTTCGGATGGCGCGGGACCTGCAATCTTCCTGCAACAGACTCTTTCGATCAGTTTTGATACGCTGTTCCTTGTCTACGGGCATCTGAATATTTACCGACCACCAATCACTGCCGGAGACTCGCTTCCCGGATCTCCAGCACTATTCCTCGCCATTGGTCTTTATGAAAGTAGCGGATGCCGATTGACCAAATCCCATCTCATCTGTCCCCAGCTGAGGGATGCAAGGCAAGCTAGTGAATTTGTGAGATGACCCCCAGGGGCCGGAATACGGGCCTCAGACTCCCTTGTTGAGGTTGCACAGCCTGTTGTCAGTGCGGACCTGACACCATCCCGCTACCATTTGCTGGTAGTCTTGGGGAATGCCTCGGTTTTACATCAGCTTTATCGGCGAGGTTGTAGAGACCTGCCCCAGTATCTGATATGTCAAAGGAGACAAACCGATCGTGTCACACTCAATGGTGAGGCTGCAAAGAATGCAGCTAGCCCGGATGAATTGACCTCCACCAAACTTCCATCATGAGACATTTCAGTTACCATCTCATGTACTTGCACCTGAACCGGGACTTGGGGCGCACGCAGTCGTAAATGGCGCGTCTTAACATGGCTACGCCCGTTTGTCCCAAACCTGAACGCTCCTGCTGCGAGGAGGAAGCTGTGCCTCGATACTTGCCAAACGAGCCCAACTCGAGCTCCAGGCTATTTCACCATCATCTCGATTTACCCTCAGTCTGTTTCTCTCCTGATCTTGCTCGCCTTCAATCTTCGATCTTCCCCAGCAATCCATTCTGTGGTATCGGGAAAAAGTATTTGTATTGTCGATCAGGCTGCCTACCCATCCGCCTTCCACCAGGCAGACACCACTGCTCTCGCTAGTGCTTATTACCGCATCTTCCTATACAGATCTTCCGTTTCCTCTCGTACAAGACCATGAGCCTGACCACTAGCGAAACACCAACTATGTTTTCTTACCCGGTTGTCGTTCTGCGGGTGTTTCAGCTCCTTACCGTCGTCGCGCCCACCACCTTCCTCGCTGCTGCCACGATCATCAACTCATTCTCCGAAACCAAAGAGCCCAAAGAATCGAACCTGCGCAAGTTTCAACTGGGCTCAGCTTGTATCGCCGCATTATTGTCTTCTGCAGAGGCAGTGATTGACCTTAAGAGATCTGACCCATACCAAATCTCCGACCCGGACGCAGTCTACGCGCTCTTCCTTAGTCTGGTCTGGGTTATCCTCTCGCTTAGTCTCGTTGGAACCCACATCAGCACGTCATACCCCCATATTGGAACTTGGACGATTCTCCTCGTCTGCCAAAGCACGGTCTTTGCACTATCATTGCCTGGTACATCCTTGGAAGACAAGCACCTACTCGCACGGTCCATTGTTCAAGGGGCCCAACTAGCAGTTGAGATCGGGCTCCTCGGAGACAGCCTTTTGATTGGCTTCGTACGAGGAAAGGAAATTGTAGGAAATGGCGATGAAACGCGACCGTTGCTAGGAAATGAATCAAGTCCGCACCCCTCGGGCTCACATGGGGACACTCAAACGCCAAATGAGGAAGAAACGGACAGACAGCGCATACGAACGAGGCCATTCTGGCAGTACCTGGGCTCTTTCAAACTCTTTGTGCCCTATATGTACCCAAGATCTTCACAAATGCGGATGTACTTTGCGGGGATGTTTGTCGCCAATGTCTCGACAAGGATCGTGACGATTGCCCTCCCTCTCAGTCTCGGCAGTGTCATCAACGGCCTTGGAGAAACGAACCCTTGGAAGGCTATGGCTGTCTACGTGTTCCTCTGGTTTTTGATGTCACACGCAGCTCTCCCACTCATTGAAACCTGGCTATCATGGCGGGTAAGGGCTGATCTGGTCGTCGCATTACAGCGGCATTGCTACGGTCACATCATGAAATTGTCCGCCGACTTCCACGATTCCAAGAGATCTTCAATCATCTGGCAGACGATGAGCCAAGGTCAAGATGTGATTGACTTGCTCCATGACGGGTTGTTTCAAACGTTGCCTACAATAGCCGACTTGGTCTTTGCAACCGTGGTCCTTACATGCCTCTTTGGGCTCTACATGACCTTCATTATCGCATCCATGTTGGTTCTGTTCTTCGGGCTGACCTTCAAGACGCTCATGAGGAAGCGATCTATGCGTCGATCTTGGGTCGATGCGTATCACGAGCAGTATTACCAGATGAGCGAATCCTCACTGAATTGGTCCGCAGTATGCCACTTTGGACGCATCCCCTATGAGATCCAGAGGTACAGGGAGAAAGGCGACACTACTCAGGACAGGATGCTGATTTTGTGGTTGTATGAGTTTTGGACCCAAGGTCTACGCTACCTGATACCTTGCATCAGCTTTGTGGCCGCATGCAGCGTGGCCGCCCTGCAAATATCACATCATCAGCACAGGATTGGTGATTTTGTGGTTCTGATCACATACTGGGCACAAGTCACCGGCCCCTTGACCACTCTGGCAACCGCAACATCAGGGGTAACTGAGAAGCTCGTCAACGCAGAGAAGCTGGTGGTGATACTGGAAAAGCAGCCACGCATTCAGGACTTGCCAGATGCTCGACCCTTCGTGTTCCTCGAAGGCGCAGTCGAGTTTGAGAATGTGTCTTTTTCCTATGACGGCAAACGACAAATCGCAAAAGGCATTACTTTCCGTGCAGCACCTGGGAAGACTGTGGCGTTAGTCGGACAGACAGGAGGCGGCAAGAGTACCATTCTGAAACTTCTTTTCCGGTTCTACGACGTTGATCAAGGCCGCATCTTGATTGACGGGCAAGATATCAGGCCCATGAATATGGAAAGCTTCCGCAAACACATTGGCATGGTTCCTCAGAGTCCCGTCGTATTCAACATGTCAGTGCTGGACAACGTTAGATACCCTGATATTGACTGTACGGAGGAAGAGGCTATCGACGCTTGTAAAGCAGCAGCACTACACGACAAAATCATGTCATTTACTCACGGTTATCATGAAAAGGTGGGCGAGCGTGGCACCAAGCTCTCGGGTGGTGAGCTTCAACGGCTTGCAATTGCGCGGGCGATCCTGAAAAAGGCGGATATTTTGCTCCTGGACGAAGCCACTAGCAGTGTTGACAGCATCACGGAGAAGAAGATTCAAGATTGCATCCGTCAACTATGTGCCGGCAAGACCACGTTTGTGATCGCACACCGACTGTCTACAGTCGTGCATGCCGATCAGATTCTCGTGATTGAGGACGGCCAGATTATCGAGTCTGGCACACATGACACTCTCCTCAAGCAGAATGGTGCTTATAATGAGCTATGGAGCAGCCAACTTCGCCTGCAGGCTGAGGGGAGCAAGTCGAAGTCCCAAACGTCCTTCTCACCGAAAACAGATGCATTGGTCCTGGTCAACGATATGAGTTCTGGTGAGCAAGAGACCCAGACTTTGGTGGAGAGTACAACGAGAGGAAGTGAGAATCAAGATACAGAGTGCAGAGCTCCCGAGTCGACCCGCGATCCATCAAGCATCCACGAACACCAGCATCGAAGCCATCAAGCATCGCATGATGCTGTAGACACGCGAGACAGGACGAACGCCAAACGACTTGCGTGTGCGTTGGTTGCGAGATTGCCACGGTCAAAATCGCCAGGGAAAGGTGGATCGTCAGAGTCAAGCCTGAACCCCGACGCGCGCACATTTCGGCCTCGAAGATTCCAGGATTGTAACAACACTACAAGTGTTACAACTGGTGACCCCAGGACTGCGACTGAAGGTCACTACGGGACTTCCTTTGGCGCCTACTCAGCCAAAGCCAGACTCGAGACGAACCTTTCCAATCAAGAGAACGACATCAAGTGGTCTACGGCGAAAGGTCTTGGGGATTCACCCGACGTTGCTTCGAAACCCCGGTCACCATTGCTTTTCCCGCTGAAACGAAAGTGGGTCGGTCAAGGTCGTGAGGCTTTGGGAAGTGACGAAGACCATTCCATTAGGAGCACACAAGAAACACATGCGGAGAGCGAAGGTGTCAAAGCCGAAAGTCCCGGTTGGCAAACCGATCAACCAGAGTTGGAGGAGACCACAGCACTAGCGGGAAACAATCGCCGGCGGTTGACTGCAAGCGAACCTTTCCTCTGGAGCATTGATGTTGAAGAAGAGTCGGACGAATCATCAGCAGATGTGAACGTTCAACAGTCGGCGAAATACTCGAGGCTCCCACAACCTTCATGCCCAAGAACTGTGTCAGCTATGGAGAGAAAGACGGGCGTGTCAAATTCAGAGGATGTGATTGAAGGGAACGAGGCTGAAGCATCCGCTGATACCGCAGCGACGAGCCCAACTATTCCCAGTCCAACATCGCACCTGAGGGTCCCTGCCAACTCCCCTGCATAGAAGGGACAGATCTGGCCTGTGTTTTATTGAGGCGAGAGCCTTTGATCTGCCCTGTTCAGATTCTTAAAAGCATCAGATACGCTTCCGGGACGACGACAAAGAGGATGCTTCTATTAGTCGTCTTGCCGGATGAAATATCAAATACATTCTGAGTCTGGACAGTGAACCAGGTGAGCATTATGGCGATGGATATTTTCACTCGATAGCAAGTATCAGAAATGTGGAAGCAGGCAGCAATCAGGCTAGTTTGTCAACATCGACTTGATTCGACGCCCTTTGGCATCTGTATGTTGTGTATGCATAGGGCGGGGGGTTTTTCCTCGGCCCACAAATCATCATGTTGTGAGGTTTTGTAACCTTCATTTCTGCATTCTTGCTCTTTTTCCCAACTCGAACCATTAACCGTCACCATGCGTGCCTAATCTTTCCATTCATAACCATAACGCACCCTCGACGAGAATGTCTCCCCTCACGAGCCGCCAGATCGAGAGCGAGGCCGAGATCTTGGAGCTGGTTGAACCCCGTGGCATTCTGGGTCAAGGTATTGGAGAATCATCAACACATCAACTGCAGGACAATCCACCGCAAGATGCTGTCCCGATCGAAGATGTACCTCCAAATGGCGGCTATGGCTGGGTGTGCACGGCCTGCGTCTTTCTGATCAATGCGCATACATGGGGACTGAACAGCGTAAGCAACCCGGTCATGACTTGACGGAGGGAGAAAGCTCACGCGGGACAGGCATGGGGGATTTTCCTGGCCCATTACCTCAGTAATCCTGCCTTTCAAGACGCATCACATCTCGAGTATGCCTTGATAGGCGGTCTCTCGATCTCTCAGTCCCTGTTGAGCGCACCGGTCGTGAACATCTCCACGAGGAGACTCGGCATAAAGGCCACGCTTCTTATCGGCACCGTCTTCCTCTTTGTGGCCCTTCTCGGTGCCTCGTATGCGACCGAGATATGGCATCTCTTCCTGACACAAGGCGTCTGTGCCGGCTGGGCCATGGGCCTCCTCTACATCCCGGCGACTGCGGTTCTGCCACAGTGGTTCTCGACCCGTCGGAGTCTGGCGATGGGAATTGCGTCTTCGGGAGCTGGGCTGGGAGGGCTGGCGTACAATCTTGCAGCAGGCCGTATTGTCCAGAGATTAGGTATTGACTGGGCTTATCGCATATTGGCGTTCTGCGGACTCGCCGTCAACGGGGTGTGTTCGCTGCTCCTCAAAGACCGCAACAAAGCCGTTCAACCTCTGCAGACTGCGTTCAACTACCGCGAGTACGCCCGCATTGAGGTTATTCTGGTGGTCATCTGGGGAGTACTTACTGAGCTGGGCTACATCGTGCTGCTCTACTCCCTGCCCAACTACGCGACGTCTATCGGTCTCACGGCGGGACAAGGGTCTGTTGTCGGCGCTGTCCTCAACCTTGGCCTTGGAGTTGGCAGACCCGTCATTGGATATTACTCGGATGCTTTTGGCCGCCTCAACATGGCGACCATGATGACCGCACTATGTGGCGTTCTCTGCCTCGCCCTATGGGTGCCCGCGAAATCGTACGGCGTCCTCATCGCCTTTGCCCTTGCCGCGGGCTGCGTCTGCGGCATCTTCTGGAACACTGTCACACCGGTCACCGCTGAAGTGGTAGGGCTCAAAAGACTACCGTCGTCCTTTGGCGTCATATGTCTGTCCTTGGTGGTGCCCACAACATTCGCGGAGCCGATTGCCCTGGAGATGGTCGGTGCGTCAGGATATCTCAGCTCGCAGATCTTCGTGGGCTGTATGTTCCTGCTCGCTGCGGCCAGTACGTGGGTACTCCGGTCGTGGAAGATCAACCAGGTCGAATTGAAAGCCGCAAGCGAACAGAGGATCAGTAATTCTCCAGCAGCTGTGCAAGACTGGACGGGCCGTGGCCATTGGCTGACGCCGCAAAAGCTGCTCTGGTTAGGCAGGGTATGAACGTCAGTCTTGTGCGAGAGTCATGGGCAGTCCGAGACTCAAACCCCGTGTTTTCGGACGTACCAGCTCGGTGGAGATGCATTAGGGGGATTGTTCTTTGTTGAGAGAAACTGTCTTAACCCACCTTCTACCGCCCCTTTCCCGCCTTGCCCTCATTTTGGTCGCACCTCAGCCTTGTCTTGAATATCTCGAATGCATGTCTCCGGCAAACAAAGCTCCCAACAACGGCGTCAGAAATAGCTCAAGAGACCACTAGAAAAAGACACTCCATGCCTCAGGGGTTACCAAGAGATATCCCTTGCAATATCAACCTCATGTCTTATCATACAAAGCTCAACTTTGCTCAGCAACGCCGCTCTGACGAGACCTTGGCTTCGTGTCCGTGATCGTGTATACAAGCACACTGCCTCAGAATGAGACCATGACAATGACCATGGCATCATCAGCGAACATCTTTGTATGCTGTCTAAGTCTCTGAGGCAGCTTTGGTCCACCGTCCAGGTCATGTTCTCGCCTATATCAGCCCTCTAGTCCCTCAGCATTTGTGCATTCCACCAGAACACACACTTTCCAGCACACCACACAGCAACACAACCATAACGGCCAAAAGCATCAACAGTTTTTCAAGTTTTCCACCAACAGACCAGTTCATCATGCACCAACTCCTCAGACTAGCCTCTTTTCGGGGTCTCATTCTCCTTGTTGCAGCGGTCGATCTCCTTCTCACAAGCACCACCAGCTACATTCTTCCGTGGTTGGACACCGTTTTCTCCGTCCCTGACAGCCTGTGGCTCTGGGTATGGAGTGCCCGCGATTCTTTCCATGACCGCTGCCTGATCTGTCTCAGTCTCAACCTTGCTCTCTGGATCTGCGACGTCATGGAAAGCGACCACCTCTTGTCTTACACCAGCATGCACGCACAACCCACTCATCTTGAGGGCTCGGCGTCTTGGGATCCAGCCGTCCTCCTATTCCTGCAAGCCGGATATTTCGCCTCGACCGTGTCCAACATTACTTTTGCTCTCCGCCTGCGTGAGCCGAGGATCTTGACGTTTCTGTATCAAGTCGTGCGGGCCAAAGAACTCTTGCTTGAACTCTCCCTGCTCTGTTTGTATGCACTCCTGGCGAGCTGGATCGCCTCGAACTGTTGCGCCAATGGTCTACAAGTCAGCAGAGATCTTTCCACGCCCAGAACTCTCGTCTATGAATACCAGGAACCAGTTCATTGCGGCGGGCCAGATCCTTTCGAAGTGCCAGTTCCCGGCTCCTTTTCAGTCACCAATCCTCCTCACAATCCTCTCGAAAGCACCGAGTTTGCCCCGGTGGAGTCATTCGCAAACTCAACGACAGGATACGGTCGGTCATCACCCACCCCCTTCATCAACAGGGCCAGAGCCAGCGCCAGGGAATCCGTCTTCTACCTTCAGCCTCCAGTCAATCTGAGCCGACCGATCATGCGTGCCCGCCGGATCTACCGTCGACGAGTCAACCACGACCTCCAGCGCGTGGAAAATGGAACGCTGACTTTGGACACTTGCGTGACAAACGCCGACGATTCCGACTACGACGCCGACACGGAATTCACGTACGAGAAGCGAGCAAAACCACGCGACGCACTACATCACAACGCAACCGCTACCGCCACGGCCAGAGATGCTACTTATCACATGCGCGCCCTCACGGAACACCAGCCAGCCCACCTCGGCCCGCCGCGGCGGAGTGACCGGCTCGGCCGGCGGAATGCCTGGGACTGGACCAACATCTCCGCCGTGCAGGAGTGACTCGCGAATGGTGCATGAACAGTGTCACGCGATCGTGGAGAAGCGTGGCTCTGGCTCCGTGGCGAGAGGTTCGACGGAGGTGAGATTCACGAAAACGGGACTGGACAGGACAGGACAGGACAAGGGATGTATCCCATTCGAAGCGATAGCAGAGACAGGATTACAGACGGGACACAGACGAATCATTCGCAAGCGGGAAAAAAGAAAGGAAGAGAAGGGAAGGGAAGGGAGGGAAAGGGGGGGGGGGGCATCCAGTCTCTTTCACAACGTGGCATGGCATGGCATGGCATATCACAGGATGGCAGAACAGAGCCATGGAATAGCATACAAAAATGGAGTGGAGAAACACATCACATTACAAATTCGTTCATTTACTCATTCATCCATCCCTCCATCAGTGATACCAATTCCATTCAATGTCCTCTGAATCCTCCAAATCTCACGAGGTATTCTGCTAGGACGCCAGATACTAGATGCCAGATACTGGATACAGGATACCGAATGCTAGATACTAGATGTATACCGACTAGTTCCGTGGAGAGAACAGGTCAAGGGACAAACAAGGCAGACGACTGATATTGGCACAGTGGACAACCTCAAAAGCAACGGATGGAACGAGACGATAGATGGAAGAAATTAGAATTGTCATGATGGGTATCCTAAATGTCCACGTGTCTACATCGCAAAACACGCCCATCTATCCACACTGTCAACAGAGTTTTTTTGTTTCCAATCCTGTCACCTGTGTGTCCCTCTCCTTTGGCTAGTCGTACTTCGCTCGAGTAGTGCACAGTTGCTCGGCTCATAATCTCAAACGTCAATGCCTACCAAACAGCAAACAGTCCTAAAACAACATCAACCGTAAAGCAAGGAAACTCGTAAATCGTTCATCATCGGAGAAATCGTGAAATAAATGGTCGTTGGTGAGTCGTGCCCATTGGAACCAAGGACACAGGCTCGCATCGTGAAAGGCCCCAAAGGGCTGAAATATGTCGAGCGTCGTTGATAGACGCATCTCGTAAATGACAACAAGAATGGCCGAAAGTTCGTCAGTTGGGTTCGTCAATAGATGGATCTGACTGTGTGACTGGGGCCCTTTGCTAGAGATGCAGACTTGTTGATGGTCCAATCAGTTCTCTTGTCGCTGGGTGTCGCACCATCAAACACCAATTTTACTGCGTCAAACTTCCCAGGGCAATTCGTCCTCCTCGCACCTCATACATGTCAAGTACCCCAACCCTCCGCCTCCTCCGTCACTCAGGCTCCTCAAATCCAGTTCGAGGCAGTTCCTGGTCAACGGTTTCACAATATCCCTGGCGACGTTCTTAATCTCATCAATCTTCCGTTCAAATCTCCGGAGATTTTCGCGGCTGTAGAGAGAGTGAGGAGATCCAGGGGGCGTCAGCTTGAGGAATCGTTTTAGCTCATCGTGAGCGAGAAAAGTATCAGGGTTGGCAGAACCAATCAAGCGAAAGATGCGGCCCGTGTTGATTGGCGATAGGGGAGGCGCATGAGGCTGATAGGGAGGCGGTGGCATGGCGTTCTGAGCATTGGTGCCGTGCGGCAGAGGGCGGCCATTTGGTCCGGGCTGTGTGTTCGCATGTCCGCTGCCGGGTCGCGAATTCGGACTGTTTTTCAAGATCCCTCTAATCTCGGGCGCCGTATTTTCTGCCAACCATTGGCGCCAAAGGCTAACGGCCAGCCAGCCAAGGTAGTCATTTGACGGATTTACCCTTTCACCACGGGTCGTGGTCAGAGTCAAGCGAAACAGCTTCGTTTCGACCTTATGCTTTATTTCTTCGAGTTCGTCGACTTTGTCCTCAATCAAATCAATTACTGACTGGGGCACTTCGTATCCTGCACCAGAGTGGTTGGGCGGCTTGAGATGGGGCAAGGCACCTGGCCATTGCCCTACGACGTGGGTTAGAGCTTCGGAGAAGATGATTCGACTTCGTGCGAGGTAGCCAAGTTTGAGGTACGACGGCGGGTATTTTGCGATCTGCTTGAATAGCCGGGACGAGAAACGCAAGAGATGATGGTCGATTCGAGGTCCAACGACGGAAATGGCGTCGTACATGTCTGCCAGAGAAAGGAGAGCCTTGCATTCCGAATAGGCGGAGGCGATGTTGGACGAGTTTAGAACTGGAGCATAGTTGTAGAAGATGCGAAACAAGTTGTCATAGTCTCTGAGCAGCGGGTTCGTCAGGCATGGATCAGGAGCGGGCGCTGCGAGTTCAGCACTGGATTGAGTTGCTGGGCCGCGGTGAGAGAGGCCCAGGTTGGCCATGGAACGAAAGAAGGAGGAGTGAATGGCTTGATGCCTTGGACGCTCTGGGGGAGAAAGTGGTGGCGGCGCCGGCGCCGGCGCCGTGGCAGCAGTAAAGAGATTGCCCTCGGGGGTCTTCTGAACCAGGATGGGTTCATCGTCATCCTCCAGATCTTCCCAGTCGAGTTCAAACCTCCATCTCCTTCTCTGACCCAATGCCGCCGGTGGTATCGGTGCTGGTTGAGGAGCAGGATTGGAGGGGCCTGGCGTCGAGCTGACTTGGGAAGACTCCTCTCCGATGACACTCAAGGCCTGATCGGTTCGTAAAGTAGACGAGAGATTGTGGCCTGCTTGGTGTGATTGACCTCGAGACCATTCTTCGCTTGTGCTGGCTTGAAAGAAACCCGAAAATTGTGCCAGCGTCAAACTGTGTAGCAGATATCTCTTCTCTTGTCCATCGCAGGCGATAACTATCTCGACATCTCCAGTTTGTGAGAAGAAGGGAAACTCGTTCTGCGGCACATGAGAGGAGCCACCGTGATGCGAACGGCCTCGATTGTGGTGGTGTCTCGATCGCGAGGTGCGGGAAACAACAGACGGTGCGGCTCGCGACTGAGAAAGAGAGCGTGTGTGAGAGTGGTCTAGGACCTCTGCGCGTGAAACCATCGGTGAGACTGAGATTCGGTTTGCTTGCTGGACGGGTTGAGATGGTGTTTGATGTGGAGCAAACTGCTGGTTCATGTCATTTCACCCAAGGTTGCTCTCATGAGGAGCTGTTCGCATCCGAGGAACGCAATGGCTTCTGTATAGAACGCGCCCTTCGTCACCGTCACTGCCGTTGCCCGCTTCTTCTGCTTGACAAGACTGCCTTTGGAGCGTCGCTTAGGCGTCTCCCACAGAAGCCAGGCGCAGCCTCACGGGTCACAAGGTGTGTCTCAACCGATCAGTGCTTCGGGATTGAGCTCGTCGAGACAACTTTGCGAGTTGTCGCACTGCAGCTGATGGCCGGTTAAAATGCCTCGGGGATGCAGTGCCTGTCACGACATTCAGCAAAGTCTCCCAACGTCTTCTCGTGTGTGCGCCATGGTACGAAAGGCGCCTGGGAAGAGGCTACCGCGGGACAGAAGAGTGGCGATAGAGCAGCAGAGCGAAGGCCGCATGAGGGAAAGTTCCGCTGCAGGTCCCGCTCGAGTCAAACCCATGTCAGCCAGTCGTGAGCGCAGCTGAATCAAGGCACAAGCACAAGTCAAACCAACGCCACCATCTCATTTGTGGCCAACATGATGCGCTAAATACCAGCTGGAAAACAGAAGACGTGAAATGGACAGAGACAAGTCTCATCATTCGTACTGGCATACAGACACCCCTTGTCAAGAACCCTGGCAGCCTCGACAGGGTTACGTACAATGCCAGGTCGACTATATATCCTCTTCTAGATCTTTCAGAGCCTTTCTTTACAATTGCACCCTCGACGACACTGTGTCGGCCGTTTCATCGGTGCTCTTTTTCCACCGCCAATCGCCATGCTGATTTGCGCTCAACAAGTCGCCATGCTATGCTAATTCAGGGTCAAGAAATGAACAGAGAGACCCGCAACGCCATAATCGACACTCGGTAGCCTTACGAGCGCCTTCTAGAAGACTGCAGTCAGTCCGCTTTTGGACTGCCGTTTGCTGAATCGTTTTCTCCCTTTGAGCGATTCTGCATCGCCGCCCGAATGTTGCTTGTGTAGAATTCCACGGCCAGAATGGGATTGATTCACGTTATGAGGACTGAGATCCGTCGCTTGGTCAATCGTGCTAGCATGGCTAGACAATGCCGAGGACGAGATATTGAGAGCGTCGTCGTCGTTGGAGTACGTGTTGTTGGTATTTTGCAGCTGCAGCGACAACGCAATCTCTCGTGCTCGTGCCAATGCTTCCAGCCATTCCTGCGCCGCAACCGCCGTTGAGAACGCTTCGCCAGACGGTGGCTTGAGGTCCTCGAAAACGTAGTGTCGGTCTTTCTGCTCAATGTGTTAGTGTTCACTCTCGGCATCAATCAACCTCGGAACTTACAGTATCGACAATCCATTGGGTTACTCCCTTGGAATCTGTCGCGCTGGAATATTCGGTCCCTGGCGATAGCAGTGAGATTTCCGACTTTGACTTCTTCTCCTCTCCACCGGCCGCAGCAATAATGATCCGTGCACTTGACGTGACCATGACAAGTCTTTGCCGTTTCTTGTTGGTGCTGCCTCCAAACAACCTTGACAATTTCCCTCCACCCTCGTTGCTGTGCGGGCTGTGGGGGTTGGGTGTTGACAACACATTTAGATTGCCCAGTTTGAGGATTCTCTCGTTATTTCTCGTGAGTACAGGAGACCATTCAATATCAAGTTGGCTCGGGGGCGGGAGTTCTGTAACCACTCTCGGCTGCGGCTTTTGATTGGGAGGAGGAAGCATGGTCGGATGTGTGCTGTGACCCGAGACAACGTCAGGCGGAAAGCTGTCTTGCGCACCGTTTCCATTAAGTTTTATGGGAGGTGCTGCGGGAGGAACATATGGTTTTAAGCGTGGTGCCTTCTGCTTCCACAAGTCGCGACCCCAGCGAACTCCGGTAAAGAAAGGGTGGTTCTTTGCATGCTCCAGTGATAACCGTCTTTGGGGGTCAAGAACCAGGAGTCGCTCAACCAGATCTCGAGCGACTTCAGGGAAACCCCTGGGGAACTCGTAGTCGAGCGCAACGATTTTCTGGAAGGTCTGATAATCATTGACAGCCTTGAAAGGTGGCCGCCCAGCCAATAGTTGATAGATGATGCAACCAAATGCCCACATATCACTCGCTTTGCATGCGTTTTTGTCGGTCAATAGCTCGGGGCTCACATATTCTGCAGTTCCCACAAAGGAGTTGGCCCTGTTCTCGGTCGAGGTGGAATCGGGTTCGAAATCAACTCTGCCATCCGTGTTTCGCCTTTCCGGAAGCAACTTGGCCGTTCCGAAATCGGTCACCTTGATATGCATGTTCTCGTCCAACAAAAGATTTTCGGGCTTCAGATCGCGATGTATGACACCTCGACCATGCATGTACTCGATTGTGTCCAGTATTTGCGCACCATAGAAGCGAGTACATTCTTCATCAAAGGTTGACATGCGTTTCAGGACTCCAAGCAACTCCCCGCCGGGACACAGATCCAGGACGAAATATAGAGATCGCTCATCTTGGAAGGTGTAGTAGAGTCTCACAACACCGGGGTGGTCTGTCAAGCGGTTCAGAGTGTCTTTCTCGATATTAACGTATTTGACCTTCTTTTCTTTGATGATGTGCCGCTTGTCCAGCACCTTGATGGCATACTGTCTTCCACTGGCTCGATCCGTAGCGGCGAGGACGGTGCTGTAAGAGCCCTCTCCGAGAGTCTGCCCAAAGTTAAAGTCCCTCACACCCTTTTTGACCGGTTTGTACGCCACTGTGCCATCAGCGCCAATCTCCTTCTTGAGACCGACGGCAGCTCCGCGCTCTTGCCACTCCTCTGCACTGGTCAAGGGTCGATCTTCCATATTGTACGGCGATGTTGATAAGGCTGTCTGGTTAGACTTGGGGGTGGTTGAGAGTGGTGTAGTGCCGGTGGGTGTGGTTCCCATGCGGGAGCCCGCCACGCCTCGAGAAGCTCTTCGCGGAGGTAGGGGCCCGTTGCCTAAAGTATATTGTCCTTGACCATATGCTCTCTCGGTGTGGCTATCGTCTCTTGAGGGCACCCCAGCAACATCTCCGAACCCCGAGCGCTTCGAAGATGTCCGTTGCGGAAACCCCGTTGAGGCTGAACCATCATTGCGAATTCTGTACGATCCTTGCCGCGAGACTCCATTTGCAGCTGCACCATTGACCGGCAACTGGGTGTAATATGCGGAACCCGGACGTGAGGCGTTCGACCTGGGGTCGTGGAGGTTCTGAGGCATCATGGTAGGGTATTGGGGGAACTGTGCTTGTTGCTGATCTTGATAGCTATAGGGGATGTTTTGTCGCTGGGCGAGCCGCTCTGCCGATGTATTGTTCTGGGTGAAAGTGGCCTGAGGCGCAGACGAGGGGACTGATGGGATGGACGAGGCAGAAACCGCGTGGGATGGGAGGTCTTCGGGGCCGTTCACGGACTCCATTGGGGATACCGGGCTGTGAGAGCGCTGTGGGGTGGCGGAGATATAGTCTGTCTTCCCATCGGTGTCGACCAAAGGCGATACCCGGGAGAACTGCGATGCGGGCGGCTGAGGTTGTAATGGTGTGTCCGGTGAGGCATCATCGGGATTCGCAATCCTCAACGGACCAAGTGAGAGGTCGGCCATTGTGGCACGGGGGGGTTCAGACTCGTAAACGATGTGGCTTGGAGAGGATCGAAATGCCCGATGACGTCTCAGTGGTGAGCGGCTTGATCAAAGTAGAGATGCTGGTGTCCTCATCGCTGCGGCAGGGAGAGCAGCAGCAACAATCACAGTGAAGGGTGAATCTTCCGTCAAGGTCCAAGGGTCCAAGACGGATTGCGAGTCGTTTCAGAATGCGGATTGCAAGTCCCCTGGATCTGATCTGGCACGGAGGAGTCTGATCTAGTGTCCGTTCTTCGGGCGGAGAGGTCGAAGGAGGGCACAAAAGGTAGACAGCGGCGCTGAGGACGAGGAGCTTCTTGTCAGGGTAGCGAGCGTGGGCAGAGTGTGTTGAAAGAAAGAAGAACCGTACAAGGTGAATTGTGCAGTTGGTAACGAATTGGTGGTTTGCAGGGACCGCAAGGATGATGGATGTTGGTCTCGCAGCGCTGTTCCCTAGACAGATTAGCCACCAATCAGCCAATGCTTCGCCATAGCCGAGCACAACTCGATGCCGGATCTCGTCGTGCCTATATTGCGCTTGAAATAGTAGACAAATGGCCCGTGTCACTGGCGGAGAACACACGTAAACGTTCACCGAGTACAAAGCCCCAGACTACACCTGGCTACTGATTATGTTTCCTCGTCAAGACCGCGCAGATTGACTCAAAATTGCGGTGGAGTTCATGTGACCACTGCGACAACGAGGTGTGGGTTTCATGGCATCCACATACTTGTACGTGAAAAGCTTCCCGAATAAGTGTGATGAACTATCGATAGCTTCTTGACTTCTTTATGTAACCGTATGGGTATGGATGGCTGGCCGTTGTCGCAGGAATGTGTTGTGTCGAAAGAGCTTCAACGGTGCCTGCACCCGCAAGCCCATCCATGTCAGCTTCAACCCTCGCTGTCATCATGTCCTCAACCTGGGACTCAGAGACGAGCTCTTTCCATAGCATGGCTCTTCGCTCTTGCCTGATCCCATTGTGCCACGAGGATGCTGCGGCGGTGCCGTCACTGCCAGCGACCAGCATGCAACCCATGGCAGTTATCCTCCTCCTCGTCAGATTAGCCACCCACTTCTGGCTCACACGTATCAACTCGGATTCGTATCTCGAATCCTTTCTCATCACTAACTAACTACTCGGTACTGCATCATGATTCGCTTACCGCCCAGCAGCCTATCCGTCTCAGAGCGAGATATCGATTTCCATGTCCGACAAACAGAAATCTACCAAGGTCTACTGCGGCAAGGCTTCAAGAAAGATGACATTATCCGCTATCTCAACGACTATCGCAAGGCTGCAGCAGATGCAGCCTACCCTGGCTTACGGGACTTCGATCTGACAATCTCGAGCACCGCGGAACTGTCCTACCTGCGTCTCCAGCCAGCCTTGCAGGAAAGTGGCCAAGAAGACAAGAAGCGAGATCCTGTCCGCCATGGTTCCTCCGAGTCCAGCAGCGGATCAACTTCCAGCTTTCCCGATCTCCCCCCAGAGATTGAAGACTCCCAAGACGATCTCCAAGACTTCGTTCCAAACGCGCTTGTGCAGGAGACGGGAAACATCAGCAGCCTCGGGTCCCCGAGATCTATCCCACCAACCCTGTACGTCAATCCACATGCTCCTCGTAAGAGCTCGCTACTTCGGTTTGCTGAGGCAGCATCACCAGAGCCTCCTCCTACCGAACCAGGAGAGGGTCGACCTGTTCCTGCGCCAACTCATACTCCAATACGTAGGAAATACAAGCGGCGAAGCCATACCTACCCATATCAGTCCTCCGAGCGAGACTCTCTTGCGGATACATTGACACAGGGTCATGTCATAGATGGGATGAATCGGATCTCCTTGGACGACTCTGGGGAGAGTATGCCTTTCGAGCTGCCATCCCCGATGCATCCTACGACTCGCACATCTTCAGCTCAAGACATCTCGTTTGCGAGTCCACCGACAAAGTCACCGCCGGGGGATAGTCCGACGGACGTGCTCAGTCCCAGCATCACCCATTCTACCGTAGAAAGGCGTCGAAGCAGCGATATTCTCGCACAGATGTATTCCTTCACAGATATGCCAAGCTCCCCTCCTTTTCTACAGACACCAGGCAGGGACTACTTCGAGGAGCCACCGTCTTCTCTGGGCTCCACTCGATTACCCAGTACACCATCACCAATCCGCAATGCTGCTTCCCTCTCACGTACCGAACCGCCTCTTTACAGACATCAATATCTGGACGGGAATTCGTATACGGTGTACAATGATTCACTCCCTGCAAGCTCTCAGCCACAGACTCCGGCCGACACATCAAGACATCCTTTGGTCACTGAGCAAGAAGCCGCGTATACCGCACCACCTGGCATGCTCCGTATCGGATCGACCTCAGTTACGTACCATGGTCGACAGGGGTGGGACCAGGAAGGCGCACAGCAAAGCCCAACTGCTCGAGCCATCAATCTTCGTGAACGACGGAACAGGGAGTTGACGAGAAGTGCTCATGCTGAAGGAGTTCGTTTGCAGCGGTTGAGGTTGAGGGACGAAAGCCGGTTTACACAGCGGGCGCTCGACGCTAACGCTGCCGCTACTGGCGGAGATCGAGTAGAGCCATTCTCGCCAACTGCGGATGATGTGTGGAGGGACGAGCTCGAGGCCGATCGCGTGGGAGAGGAGAATTTCGAAGCAGGCAACGACAGTAGTCATCGGAGAGTCATGCGAGCTGTGAGTGGAAATGCTAGGTTTGACCTTGGGGACTGGCACGAATGAAGATATTGGGGCCTAACGAGGCCGCTGAGAGCCTAGTGCCGAGAGGAGGTTGAGAGACACGGGCTGGATTCAGACGTCAAAAGACTAGAGTATCGGTATATGGAGGACTGGTACCGGGTGCAGCCGTTTCGTAGTACAGGGACATACATATATCGTAGTGCTCCACAGTGATAAAGCAGCGATGCACAAAACATCAAGAAAAGCAGTCCCCAGTGATCTTCTGGTCTATCCACTTTTCCCCGTCCCGTTGAGACCAATGTCTCAGGTGTGACTGGACCCATGAGAGGAGGCGGAGCAGGGAGATGGACAAGGTGTGTTCTGGTTTGTTTGTGATGGGGAAATAGATGTGTAGCTAGGTATATAACTTGTGTTTTACCTATCGTTTACCGTACACTTTTTGTTTATTGTTTTTGGGTTATTGTAGGCTTGTACATACATGTGCGTATATGTATATATGGAGACTCCCACCAGATCTGGTGGCTGGGTTCCTGGTTGCTGGCTCTGGGTATAGATCATGATGCGTCCCCCATCGGACATCCCATATCCTCGCAGGGTTTCTGTCTATATTACTTACCCCACGGAAGGACCACAATCCCAGACTCGACGACGTACTCGAAACATATTGTCCCCTCTATGTCCCATGCAGAGCATGCTCGGTATGTTTCTGGGTGTTGTCTCGTATCCTCGAGGCATCGGGCTCGGGGCCCCAGGTTGAATGAAGTACGTCGATTCCCAGTAAGTAAGTACCAAGCAAGAAGAATGGAGGGAAGCTCTTTTCTCTCATCACGCATTCCGCGCGTCACTTCTTGTTTTCTATTTTATATATCGAGTTGCTTGTCCTAGTTGCCTGGTTAGCACATACTTGGAGTTGCTCTTACATACCTCGTACGCTTGAAGTATATATACTCTGTCACCCTTGGTCTCTCCTCCCCTCCTTCCCCTCGGCCGGCGAGTGTCCGGGGACCCAGAATCTTGATTCAACGAGAAACTCCCTTCCCTCTCTGCCCCCGTCTTTTACCGCGTATCCCCCCTGCCTCTGGATCCCCCTTCATGCTTACCTCACCTTTGTACTCACTCCAAACGTCTCCTAACCTCACCGGAACACGGACTGGGTCCTGGTTCCGGTCCTGGCACTGACTGGCAGTGTGTACTTGTCCTTTATTGGGAGACACCACCTGCCCAGATAGGCCGGCATAGGTACCTTTCATGCTCTCCCATGCGCGAATGCCTGTCTTTTCTTGCCCTGTCTTGTCTTTGTTTCGCTTGTGCTGGCAGCGGGCACGTTTCCCGAACCCTCCTAGAGTGGGGTGATCCCCATCTCTTACTCGTACTCACGCTCCCAGCTTGGGTCGAGAGCTTCGAGAGGTACTCGATTGGTGGCATCGCTCCGCTCGAGACTTCCTTCAAGCGCCGCCATACCCTGGTCTGGTATCTCGATCTTGAAGACCGGGGTATGTGCGAGAACTCCACAGAGGGCTTAAGGTCCGACCCTTGGGAGACCCTCGAGAATCTCGTGTGAGCAAGTCGCTTTTACCGCCGCGGCTATCTCGAGTCTCGGAGAGCGGCCATGTTCCGACAGGTCTACTGCTCGATAGTGCAACAGACGGACAGACCTCCCCACTCAGGCAATGACTCGAACACAAGCAAGGGTAGCATGTTATAAGTAATCTCGTGGCGCACAATCCCCGTTCGTATCCGTTCTGATCATGTGAATCATTCTGGGCCATGACTCTTGAGAGATGGTACCCCGTATAGCAGCAAGATGACCGTCGACGGTCCACTGTGGCATTTTCTTGAAGACACAAACCATATAGACGCAGGTCAACTTAGCCCGGATTGCCAATGAGGTGGGAGAACAATCTGCTTTGTGCCAGGAAGCAAAGAAAGAGCACTCCTCAAGCGCTCAAGACGTTCCAGCCATACGCCTTCCGGACCCACGACTTTGGCAAGACAACAACTCTAACTCATGATATTTCGGACTTCAAAGAATGATGGTTGTATGCTTTTTGGAGGCCTATAGTTCCAAGAAAAGCGGGTTGTCCATGCACCAGATACCTAGAGAAGTAGCTCGCCAGAGATACAAGCGTGCTTGATTACCTTCTCGGTCAAGTATGTCCGCAGTGGTCTCGACGATCGGTACTCGGCTTGAAACTGGCTGCACGGCAAGAACATATTGACGCATATATCTCCGTGCCATGTCAGTGCCAGCGTCGAGTATCCGGAGAACGTTTCTGGATTCTGATATCGAGGTCCTAGCGGCCTAACCTACCGACGACGGACGGAGAGCATCTGTCTAGAAGCGCCTCCTCTTGTCATATTATACCATTCTTCTGTTGCAGTGCTCCCCTACGGCAGAGCTAGCTGACATGAACAGAGGTTCACACCACCACAACAACTCCCTGCGGATATACACGGACATTGTAGGGTGACAGCGCCGCTGTATGGCTCTTCAACAGAGCTGGTTCTAAGCCACCCGGGGTTTAAACGACGAAAGATAGACTGGTGGTTGGTCGAGGATGCGCTCCGGAGTCCCTCCGGGCGGACCTTCTTCCACACCTATTGGGGGTCCATCCAAGGGGAGGGGAGGATGGACCAGCAAAATCTCCGGGATCCAGCAAGAAGCTTCAGGACACCACCTTCCCACGCAGAACACCCGGCCAGCTGGCGCCATCCTCGCTTCGGAATGACACCATCAGGTCACCGAGATCTGTTAGTGAGATGGCCCCCCGTATATGTATATGTACAACTGACGTGCAGCTCTGAGAGTGCTTTCCCGCGGGGTCGTGCCGAGATCCTGCTGCATCTGCCTTGCAGAGATCTGGCACACGATTGCGGATGACTTGCATTAGCTGAGGTACTGCTTGACAGGGCTGTTGTTAGTGGTATGGGATTTCAGAATCCCATGTCCGTCTTTCATTCCCTCATGTATTTCATAAGCGATATCTCATCGCGTCCGTTAGGCTTGCTCGAGGTTGTTTCATCCAGAGTCATGATCATGCTTGTCCATTGTCTCCATCATCTTGTCAAGGATGTTGACACCCACGGGCTTTCCGAGTCTCTTTCTCCACTCTTCTCCTTTGTAGATGATGAAAAGCATCGGTGCAAATGCCAATACCCCCCCAATAAGGGCGAACATCAGGAAGGTCCACTGATAGCCGATCTTGTTCCCCAGGTGGACAACATAGAAGGCGAAAGTGAACCCAATTTCCTGGCGAATAAAATTGAACAGCTGTGCGACCTCACTGCTTTCTGTCCGGTAACAGTCAATCGCGTACGTGTAAGTGGTTGTCGTGATGATTTGCAGGCCAAAGCACGCGATGCCCATGCCAAGTATGGGCGCAATCCACACCGTACGGTATTGTAGGCAGAAGCCATAGATCAGAAGACCAGCGGGGATAATGATCTCGCCCATCCAGATGGCTTTGAGTCGAACTTCTGGTTCCGGGTCACGACCTAGTCGCTTTCGTTCCGCCGTGACAATGCGATCAACGACCCAGCCCGCAACACATTCGCCAAGGATCCCTCCGATGGTTAGAGCTGCACCGAAAGTGAGGCCGATAGTCAAAGTGTTCCAATGGAAGAACTCTGTGAATATTACGGCGACAGTCACCGCAGGCACAATGGATGCAAAACCATACATGGTGGCGTAATAGAGAGCCGGAAATAACACTGAGGGGTATTTGACCATCTTCAACGCCGGAAGTACAAACTGATTAGGTCTCAACCTCAGTTCTGGGAAGTTCGAACGCAGGCGCATGCGGGAAAAGTATACTCCTTTGGTGAACCGCGGCCGATGCTCAGTCAGCGACTTTAACAAGTCTGGCCGCGAGGTGTCGACATCCCTTTTCCTGAGATAGAGAGTCTCCGGAAGACAGAAGAAGGCTGTAATCAACATTACCGCGTCGACAATAGCCACAAATTTGAAGATCCATCGCCAGCCGCAGTATTCGCCCAGCAAACCTCCGACTATTGGAGCCAGGTGGCTCCCATTGACCATGGTCACAGTGAAGAAACCCATCGCTCTGCCGCGCTGGTGATAGAAAAACAAGTCGGTGACAGTGGCAGCACCCAAGGCAAAGGCGACCGGAAACAAGCCATTGAAGACTCGGGCAGCGATAAGTTGGCCATATGTTTGGGTATAGGCGCAGCCTAGGGCGGAAATGAAGCCCAAGAAGGTTGTGGCCAAGTAGACAGGTCGTCTACCGTATTTGTTGGAGAGTGGGATCCATAGCCACGGGGCTATACCATTGAGCGCTATGCAGACGGTGCTTCTCACAAGTCAGTTGCCGGTGGACCAAGGAGGTGTTGTCAAGTTAAGACTCACGTCTGATACGAAGCGGCAACTTTGCTGATGCCAAAGTCTTGGGCCAGCAACACCACTGCGGGGTTGATTGCAGCTGTGTTCAGACCACCAATCGCAGCCAAAAGAGACGTCTGGGTCAATATAAGAATCTGTTCAAGATCAACAGAAGTTCCCGGCCTCAATCACAGAAGTTGTAAACCAACCTTAAGCCACAGAGGCCAGTTGAGAGGATCCTGCGGATCTTCAGACGGCCGGGGGTTCAGTAACTCTCGGCTTGTCTCCTGGAGGTTGGTAGTCCCAACTTCTTCCTCGTTCAAGGTTCCTGGAGCACTAGACATCCTTTCTATTATTTGTGAATTCTTCATCGTGTGGATCGTGGGTAGCCGTGACCCGGTTGAGGAACGAGTGTGTGCGAGAGTAAGAGCAGGTATATCGTCTGTGACACCCTTGAGCAAGGTAGAAGCATTTCGGCGACGTTTTGGGGCATCGACAAGGAGGGAAGAAAAGGGTCGATCAGCACCGAGGACGTTGCTGGATTGCGCTACTGCTGGTGAGCAATGTCATGCGTGCCCTGAGGGGTCAGGTTGAGAGCGCGAACGACTGGCTGGCCTGTGGCGAAGGAGAGTAGACTTTCGGGAGGGGAATATTTGGATTCCATTCTCGCATGAAGTTTCCGTGTGCCGCAGCGAGGCTAAGGAATCTGTGAATGCCCAGTGGGTAAGCATGAAGAGGAACAAGCAGTGGAAAACAATGTGGAGAGGCGTTGGAGAGGGAGTGTCGGAGACACAGAAGGGACTGGCGCACCAACAAAAGTTCCATGACAGTCGCTCTTGAGGAAACCCCTCGCCCCTTGTCCAGCCTGCGAAGTCAGCAGAAGCAAGAGTCTAACGATGAAGAGGCAGTTAGCAGCACATGAATCGCATGTCACAAAAAATCAATGGAAATGACCGCGTCAGGACACTGCGACAACCGTCAGGAGATCCGCGAAATCAGTTTCTCTTGCTCTTCGGCAGGTGAAAGGAAAACTACGTGACACCATAGCAAAATGACGCTCAACTCCTACTTGGACGAGGAGGCTGAAGATGTCACAGCCTCAGACGGAAAGGATCCAAGGATTCTTGTGGAGGAGTCGAAGTCCAAGCGCAACTTGGTCAGGTGTTTGTCTCTGCAGAATCTGCCTTGCCATGCTTGCCTGGCCCGCAGACCACAGCAGGGAAATCAAGAGTTTGGGAACCAGAAGGATTCGGCAAGACTTATGTACAGTACCTGGGAACAACATGTCTACAATCTGCGCCACCTCTGAAGCCCTGTGCGGCGGAATAAGAGGTACACATGTACACCTACAGGTGCGACTAACCGGCGACTCCCCGGAGGGCCAACACAGAGGCCTAAGCAACCACTGTCGCTGGTAGGATTTGGACGACGACGAGGTGCTCTAGGACCAACGGCATGATAACCCCCGCCTTTCAAGTCTGGAGCCAGAGAAAGTTGACAAGCTGAGCAGTGGAAGGACCGAGCGGACTAGAGTTTGTATGCGTAGTGGTGGCGAGCAGCTCGCAACACGACCTACTTTTCTTTGCTTGAAGACCTTGGGATACATCACTCTACGCGATGATCCTGGTGGTAAACTCCTCTCCACGCGGGGCAAATACGATGGGCCCATGGTGATAGATTATGGCAAAGTCATGGCTTCACGACACCACAATTAGTACGAGGACGAAAGAAGAAAGGCTCATATACATCTTCTCTTTCCGTCTCTCTGTCTCTCTTGATCGGCCTCAGGTTATTGACCTAGGACAGCAGGAACCACCTATCGCCGATTTCCGCTTGGCGTTGAAGGCAGCCTGAGGAAGCCGTGGGTCAGAGACAGCTTGGGGATTTGCTTGCCATCCATGATCTCGACCGGAAAAATGGGAATAAGTGGTCCAGAACATGAGAAGCAGTGTGTCGAGACAATACATGTATAAGTTCATCCACTCATTTGATCGAGGAGACCACCGCAAGACCTTGACAACCATGCCTCTCATGCGCGCTTTCTCTGCCCATGTCGGATTCAGAGAGGATAGACCCGCCTGTAAGTGGCTGACAGCACATCCCTTCCTGCCACTTGGGAACGTACTTTTGGTCACGTCGCCGTGTGCATGAAGAGGGGCAATTTAGCCTTTTTGGCACGCATTCTGCGTGCACTAGGTCGAAGTGGTCGAATGACTAAGTTCAGTGGTGCATGTAGCAATAGGTGGGCGTCGATCCGTCGCAGAACCCCGGATATCGGCTCTGAAACTTTGAACGCATGGGCGGTCAGTGTATCCAAGGTACCCTACCGAGCCTGAAAAGCCTGACAAGCCTGGCCTGTGAGTTGTCCGCCTTGGCCCTTTCGTAGCCATCCTCCAAGACTACAGAGAGTAATTCCTTTCAGGCCACTGGTGCGAATGTGCTGACTCTCTTGAGATTGACTCGAACTCGACGTCACTACGTGCAGAGGAAGCCGGGGGGTTGCAATTGGCCAATACCAGTCTGTCCAGGTCATTCCTCAAACGTGTCATCATAGATGGCATTGGGGGATTCGCAAGCCAGGAGGCTGAGCATCAGCATGTACTGTAGCATCGATGCAAAGGGTACACGAGCCTGGTGAATAGTTGATTTGTAAGATACGGGCACCATTTTCCGCATACTCTCTGGCAGCGGAAGAGCCTGCATACGTCGTCCAACAGGTTCTCAACCAATTTCGAGATGTGCCAATTTTAGAGATGCAGACGTCGTCTGCTAAAGTGGGTGATGATCCTACTAGAACCTCGTTGCTCTTGTGGAACGACGGCTCGGAGCGCCTATCATTGACATGAAACAATTGGTTCACGAAAATCGAGATGGAGTGGAAATCTCGAAATGTTCTGTTGACGTCGGAGACAGCAGAAACGGGCCAGGTTTCGTTAGCCTTGTTTTCAGCGCCCCCGGTTCTGCCCTTAGAACGTAGGATATCAGCGCCGTTGAGCGCAATGTCACTATACAAAGATTAGTCAGGCTGGACAATGAATATCCGACAATGTGTTTGATGCAGATTTTGGCAGATTGTTTTACCTATAACCCGGAAGTTTATTAGGTAGACCGTGTCGGATTGGGCGACATGGACGATGGGGAAAGGCATGGTTGCACCCTGTGTGCTATTCCGAGGTTTGGTCGGTGGCTCGAAAATCGACCGGGATTCTCCAGAGCAAAAAGCTCCAGAAGGGGGCTAGTGGACAAGGGAAACAATGTGGCGATAATGGTTGGGACCTTGCCTGCTTGTTTACTGGATCACATCAAGTCAGTGCTAGTGGTGCCTGTGCACTGAGAGTGGTTGGTAACTTGGCCCCCTCGTGGCAATCAAGGGAGCCAACTCAGCAGACGTTGAACCGTCAGGCAGGGAACAAGCGGGAGGCACATAGTGCTTATATCGAATAGAGTGCTGACCAGTGCTATCCTTGGGCACCTTGGGACAGAACCCCAGTACCCCTTGGATTAATTGGGCCATCAGGTCCGTATTCGTTCACCGGAAGTGCGAGTCCTGGCAGCCCAGAGATCGACGGTGCGGATCCGCAACAACACTAGGAAAAAGCAGCAAGCTTTCCTACCAGACCTGGATTTGGACGTTCTGGAAGTGTGAAGGAAAAACCCAAAGAATTTTCATGCTTGCGGATGACCCGGCGCCTGCAGAACAAGTTTACCATGACTAAGTGTGGTGTAAAGTTGTAAGCCTCCTGAGATACCAGGTATTCACAACGGGCACCAGGAACTGGACAGGCTGAACCGAGTTCCGAGTACCTCGTAGAATACTTACCTCGTATTCATTACCATGTGACCGATCAATACCAAGTACAGACCTCGGTGAGCACAAGGCTAGAGAACGATTTTAGAGGTTGGTTCCCCGTCGGGCGAAGGAGCGGGGCGCTAACCGCATATGGATTTTGACCTTGCAATGTGGCAGGGCCTATCGCTGACCGACTCGTGTTTTTGTGAAACTCATGGCTTGCCAGGGATATGTCATGAATGGGGTGGCACGAGCTGGCACGAGTTGGACCGTCTTTTTCCTTAGCAACTCTGTGGGTTTCCAACAGCCTGGGTCCAAGATGACCGCGCGTTGAATTGTTCGGCCCATTGTCCGATGACCAAGGGTAGAAAGAGCATCAAAAATCAGCCACAGGAACTTGTGATGGGATACCTCGGGATCGTAAAAGCCAGTTGAGAAAGCAGCACTTTGCGAGGTGTGTTTGTGTCAATAACAGCAGCGTCGGCGGTAGTCGCAGTCGACGCCGTGTTAGTCAGTCCGTGTCAAGGCCGTTTTACTTGTATATGGTTGGTTCGTTCAGAGAAAGTTGGCGGTGGTTAGCGTTTTGGAGAAGAAGAAACTCTCTCTTTAGGTTTGGATTTTCGTCTTGAAGCACACACCACCACCCAGATACTCCTTCCACCACCTTCCTTTTTCTGACTAGTGCGAGTTTGATAATAGCGTTAGTGCTTGTACTCGGTATCTCGTGGATTGTCAGAGTTGTTATGGACTTGTAGCTTGTACATCTCCCAATACTGTCTCCCCCGGTGAGGTACGTACTCATACAAACCTACTGGTAGATGCCCTCTAGTAGTAATTAATGATGGCTTCTCGCAACAAATCCCATTCCAAGTAAGAATCTTGCTCTCTGTCTGTTTCTATTGGGCACACATTTGACTAGCGACGCTAACTCCATTAGCGCCACTAGCGCCACTCCCCGCTAATGCATCGCATGTCATTTGAACCCGATCTATCCCCTTCTCTAGTGTTTCTCACTTGCCCTGACGCCTGGTTATCCCCGTAATCACCACCTGCGAGTACCTCACCTCCTTGTAATTGGACTAACTCGTACTACTTACCGCTCTAGCGCTCTCTTACGACTATTCAACATTCTTCCTCCCAAAAAGCTTGGTCAAAGCGGCAGGCAATTTGTCAAAAACCGGTCATTCGCGTCAAGTGTTCAAGCTCCTCTGCCCTTTGACGCTTTGGGGAGGTGTGTTGCTCGGCGCGGCTGCATCTTGCGACACGGCTCGGCCTTCCCTCAGATCCTCATCATCGATCCCTGCTCACGCTACTCCATTTCCTCCCACCTCCCCTGCGTTGTTGGCCTGGTGCCCGGCCGGGAGGTTGCGTGTTCGCTGTGGCTTCGGCTATGTCAACCCAGCTCCAGTATTGGCTGCTTCCCCGTTTGACTGGTCCATTACCTTCTGCCCCTTCTAGTCCAACTAAAAGAGCCGTTTTGGAGACGAGAGAAAGACGAAGGGATAGAGATTTAGGCAAGAGAGGGCACAACCACCAGACCGAGCGAACTCGTCA